CTCCTCCTCCTCCTACTCCTCCTCCTCCTCCTCCTCCTCCTCCTCCTCCTCCTCCTCCTCCTCCTCCTCCTCCTCCTCCTCCTCCTCCTCCTCCTCCTCTTCCTCCTCCCAGGAGGCTGCCGAGCCGACTGCAGAAGCCCCCCCTCCCCGGCAGCGACACGAGGCCTGCGGTGGGCGCAGGGAGGCAACGGAAGTGGCAGTGGCCCATGGCGCGGCTCGCAGTGCGCCCACGCCCGTCGGGATGGCTCCGTTGTGGCACGAGGGCGACCGCAATTAATGTGCCGCGCCGTTCGTTCCGACGCGCGGCCTTCCGTTTTGGGGGGGCGCCTCGGCCACCATGGCGCACGCCGCCGCGGGCGCGGTGGGTTCGCACTGGGTTTGCCGGATAGCGGCCTCGTCTACTTGGGGTGCGGGACGCAGGGTTTGCAGTGGGTTTGCCGTGACGCCGTCGTCCACTCGGGCGCGATGAAAACAAAGGAAGTTTTCCCCATCGAGCAGGGAAGAGATGTGCTCGCTGACGCCCGGTGGCTGGTTCGGGCGGACTAGGAGGAGGAGGAGGAGGAGGAGGAGGAGGAGGAGGAGGAGGAGGAGGAGGACGACGACGACGACGAGGAGGAGGAAGAGACGGAGGAGGAGGATGTGGAGGAGGATGAGGAGGAGGAGGACGAGGAGGAGGAGGAGGAGGAGGAGGAGGCGGAGGAGGAGGAGGAGACGGAGGAGACGGCGGAGACGGAGGAGACGGAGGAGACGGAAGAGACGGAGGAGACGGAGGAGACGGAGGAAAAAGAGGAGACGGAAGAGACGGAGGAGGCGGAGGACGGCTTTACCCGGCCTCGGGCAAGGGCGCCTCCAGAAGCCCTGCCTTCGGCATGGCGCTCGGTGCACCCGAAAGCCGCAGCGGAGCAGCCAGCGGAGCTCCGTGTCGAAGCACAGCGGTCGGCAGCTCCGGCAGTCCGCTGGGTGCCATGCGCCCGGCCAGCGCAATCCGCTGCCGCAGCGGAACGTCGAACGCTTGCGGACACCCCGCGGCGCCCAGGTAGCTGGCATGCAACTGGGGGCCGGCAGCGACAGCATTCAGAAGAGGAACTGGTACCCATGCCGTTGCCCTTCCCTCGTTTTCCCTTTTGGGGCCTCCTCGGAGGCCCTCGTCGCCACCGCTGGAGTCGTGAAACCTTGTCAGAACGCACCCCAGGAGAGGTCTGGGGAGTGGCGGTATCGATACCTGTTGGTCTCCCCAAGCATCACCCTGCGGCGCACCTGGGGGAGCGTGAGGCGCAGCATCAGGAGCCGTGCCTGCAGGACCTTCTGGGGTACGATGGGCATTCTTTGGCTGCGAGCCGGCTCCACCCATGGAGCCGGCATATGTGGCGGCCCGCTCCAGCACGCAAGGCCGCTCGCTGATGCCATGTTCCAGCGGTGGCGGCAGCTCGCGGTGCGGCTGCTCCAGTGGCGCCGTCTGCGGTAGACGCCCTGCCACAACAAGAGGTTGCGCGTATATGGCAGCTGTCCCGGCAGAACAGGGCCCGGCGCAGCACCCTGAGTGCTGGAAGGGTCGGGCCGGGCGAAAGGGGGGGATTGGGAAAGGGGGGGTTACGAAATTTGCTGCATGCAGCTGGTTTCGGCCCCGCCGCCGGGCCCATTCCTCGATACATGGGCGCCTCCTGGCGCCGGGAGGCGCCGGGAAAATCAGCTACGTGAGCTGATTCTCAAACCCCCCCTTTGCTATCCCCCCCTTTTGCCCGACCCGAAAGGGACCCTGAGCCAGGATTGCGGCTGAAGCAGAAGGGGGAAGAGAGGATGGAAGACGGAGGAGGGAAGCGGAAGGAGGCAAGAGGGACAAACAATGAGGGATGAAGGACGACGGGCAGAAGGAGCAGAAGGAGTCATCAGGCGGAGGAGGAGGAGGAGGAGGACAAGGAGGAGGAGGAGGAGGAGGAGGACAAGGAGGACGAGGAGGAGGAGGAGGATGAGAATCAGAGCGAGGCGTGAGGCGTAACGAACGCTACGACCCCAGTTGATCTAAGCTTTTGCCCAGCGCCAGCAATACGAGGCGCCAGGCGCGAGCAGGAGGAGGAGGAGGAGGAGGAGGAAGAGGAGGAGGAGGAGCAGGAGGAGCAGGAGGAGCAGGAGGAGCAGGAGAAGAAGCAGGAGGAGGAGGCGGAGGGTGAGAGGAGAAGGAGGAGGAGGATGAGGCAGGAGCACGGAGGAGTAGGAGGGCAGGAGGAGAAGTGAGGAGCAGGAGGAGGATGGAGGCGGAGGGGGAGGAGGAGAAGGAGGAGGAGGAGCGGGGAGGAGGAGGAGGAGGAGGAGAGGAGGAGGAGGAGGAGGAGGAGGAGGAGGAGCAGGAGGAGCAGGAGGAGCAGGAGGAGCAGGAGAAGCAGGAGGAGGAGGCGGAGGGGGAGGAGGAGAAGGAGGAGAAGGAGGAGGAGGAGGAGGAGGAGGAGGAGCAGGCGCCAGGCGCGAGCAGCAGGAGGGGGAGGAGCGCAGCCGCACACAGGCCTGCTGGGTCGGCGGCTTCACGGCCGAGGCTCGCCGTGCACTGGCCGCGGCCGCGGCCCTCCCTCCCAACGCGCCGGCCGCGCGCGCGAGCTCTCCTTTTCGGGAGTCTCGTATGGTCGGGAGCTTTCGGGTAGCGTGTCGCTCCGCCGGTTCTGGCCCACTACGCTTCGAACCCTGAGCTGCGGGCGTCGCAATCTTGGTCGCGCTGGGCGTTTTCGCCCGGCTTCGTGCCTCGGGACCCCCACAGGTCGAGCCGCATCGAAAAATGCCGCAGAATGAAAGATGGTGTCTAGGGCTCCCGTCATGATTGTTGACAAGGTTCCCAGACCCTGGACATCGTGATTTTTTAACAACGTCGACCCCCAGAGGTCTGGTCCCCTTCCCCAGGACCGGTTTTTCGTCTTGAGTAGTTTTTCGACGGTCCCGAGGCCATGTAAGGGCCCCCAGAGGCTGATTAGTGACGAGATGATTTTTTTTGTCGCGACGTCGGATCTCAGGCTTGATGCGACAAGCTGCCCACTTCCCGGCCGCGGAGCGGAGCGACGCGCTACCCGCTCGCAGGGCACAGCGTGTCGCCAAGGTCGCCGCTGCGACACGTCCTGCAGGAGTTCCTGACCGTACACATTGTTCATTTTTCATTATTCGAAAGTTCATTGATTTTTGGGGTGGCCAAGATCCTTTCATTTCTAGTTGTTCTATCCTGGCCTCTTCCTGGCCACTAGGGGGCCAGGAACAATTAGAAACAAGCATAATTAGAAATGAGCACGATTAGAAATGAACGATGTGTAGATGTCGCTGCACCATTTGTTTCGACGCGCGGCCTTCTGTCTTGGGGAGGGCGCCTCGGCCACCAGGGCAAACTCCGCCTCGGACGCGATTGGGTCGCCGTGGGTTTGCCGCGGTGCCGGCTGCGTCTCCTTCGGCGCGGGACGCAGGGTTTGCCGTGTGTTCGTCGTGGTGTCGCCGTCGTTCACTTTGGCGCGTTGACAAGCAGCGCGGCTACAAACGGGGGGAAGGAAGAGGAGGAGGAGGAGGAGGAGGAGGAGGAGGAAGAGGAGGAGGAGGAGGAGGAGGAGGAGGAGGAAGAGGCGGAGGGGGAGGAGGAGGGGGGGGGAATCGAGGAGTGCAGGACAGGGGCCGCAAATGGACTCCAAAGGGGCTCCCCCCCCCAAACGTGCACAGGAGGTGCACGTTACTCCCCCGCCTCATCGGGCCCTTGTCCCCCCCTTCTTGAGCAACGCACGTCTTCTTCTCTGGGCCTCAACCCCGACCGATGCGATGTTTGAGTTCGAGCAGACTCGGGGCCTCGGTTTTTTGGCCCGCGGGTCGGGGGCTATGATGTCTGCCTCGGAGCGTCCAGGACCAGAACGCAGCTGGAAAAAGCCAGTCGGTCGTGGGAAACTGGTCCAGACCTCTGGGGACCGACGGTGCGCACAAAAACCCAACGTCGGAGGTCGAGGCTGGACTGTGACGCGGAGAACCGAGCACCGCAGAGGCCCCCACCACCTGGGCCGCCCAGGCCAGCTCGTTGCGGATCGATCCAGACCCCACAGGCCCTAAGTGAGATCGATCAAGAGCCCTTGGGCCCTACAGTGAAACATCACCGCTCGGGGGACTGACCAGGTATCCCAGTCGCGCCCACATGCAGACACTGAGCGAACTCTGGCCTTCCCCTCGCGCACTGCGTGCCCTACATGGACCCCAACCACGCCCCCATTGATGACCACGCTCGCGTGCAGCACCAGACCCAGTCTGGGCCCACCGCCGCACACTCTCCGCACCCCTTGTTGAGCCCCAACCACCTCCCAGTGGAAGCTCCCTTGTACAGGGGTCGGGTCCATGTCAACCCACTCCTCGTCACTCAGAGTGCGTCTTGTGCCTTACTGGGAGCCCCAGCCGCGTCCCAGTGAACACGTCCTCGGACTGGACCCATCTCGGCCCACTCCTCACGCGTTTCGTGCCCCACCGTGAAGAGCCCGATCTGCGAGTCTGCGCCCGCCCGCACACGGGGACCTGGCGATCCCACCTTCCCGTACTCCTCGTCCTATGCCCCTTTCGGCAGCCGTTTCGGCTCAGCCTGGGCCCCAGCCCAGAGGGTGAGCGCTCGATGCCGCTTCCCACCTGAGCAGGGGCCCTCGCGCGGCGCCCATGAGCCGCTGCGAGGCGGCTTCCACTCTGGGCGAAGGAGGCGCGAGCGCGAGTTCCAGCTCTCGCAGGTGCGGGTTCTCGCAGACGCTGCGCGCCGTGGACCTTGGCGTGGTGAAGTTGTGCGGCGCCTGCCTCCTCGAGATCGGCGACGATGGCGGCACCGCCGAGGAGAGGCTGAGGAAGGGGCAGGACATGAGGGGCCTCAGGCGGCAGATGAAGAGGCTGGCCCGCGAGGCCAAGAACGACGACGAGCTCCTGGCGGTGCTCGACTGCTGCCACCCAAGGCACATCTTCCACGTCAGCTGCATCGCGAGGTGGGCGGAGCGCGAGAACTCCTGCCCGCAGTGCAAGCAGCGCTTCTCGGAGTACGCGGTGTACGGCCAGGAGCTGCAGCTGTCCCGCGTGGCCGCCGTCGCGGAGCGGCGGCCCGCGGCGGCCGGGCAGCCGTGCGGGAAGGGCAGCCCCGGCGACGCGGAGGAGTTCGAGGGCGACGACGAGGCGTGCCGGCTCTGCAACTCGGCCGACGACGAGGCCGCCATGCTGCTCTGCGACGGCAGGAACGGGCTGTGCAACGCGCCGTACCACTACTACTGCCTCGGGCTGCAGAGCATCCCCGAGGGCGCGTGGTACTGCCCTCCCTGCCACGCGGCGCTGCTGACCGGGAAGGGCCCGGAGACGGGTCACAACCGGAGCAGGTCGCCGTCGCCAGCCCTGCCCGCCGGCGCGGGCTCGTCGGACGACGAGTCGGAGTCGCAGGCCGTGGACCCCTCCTGGTCGGAGGACGAGAAGCGGGCGTTACGAGAGGCTCCAGGAGAGTCCCAGCTCCCTAGGCGGGCGGAGGGCGAGGGCGAGGAGGAGGAGGCGGAGGAGGAGGCCAGCCTCGCCTCGGTCGCCGAGCAGGATCTGCAAGGCGTCGGCGACGCGGAGCTGCACCCAGAAGGGGAGTTCCGAGTGCCCCCGGAGGTGCTGGAGCAGACGGAGGATACCGACGAAGAAAGCTCCAGCGAGGAGATGACCTCTTCCAACGAGCCGGCGCGGAAGCGGAGGCGGAGGACCCCGCGGCTGAAGGAGAACGCCTGCATCACCGTGCGGAAGAGCTTCATGTCCAACAGCTTGGACTCCGTGAAGCTCAGGAGAGGGCTGACGGGCCTGGTGTACAAGATGGACCGGCACGGCGACGCCCTGGTCGAGTTCGACGACCACCCGAAGCCCGAGTGGATCCGGCAGCACAACTTCCACAGGCTCTGCGTCAAGCGAGGACGGCCGCCGGCCCGGCGCCGACAGCAGCCCGACAGCAGTGCTGCCGACAGGATGGACATCGAGGGCGTGCCGGCTGCCCCTGGGCGCCGGCGCAAGCGCGGCCAGCGCCAGGCCGACGCCCCCCCGCCGCGCGGGCGGGGCCGAGCGCGGGCCGCGGCCGGCGGCCCCGCGTGCGCCAGGGCCCGCGGCGAGCAGGCGAGGCCGCAGAGGCCGCCCCGCGCGGCGGGCCGCGGCAGAGGCGGCCGCGGGCTGGCCATCAGCGAGGGCGCGCCCGGTCGGCTCCCCGTGTCCTCGCCAGACGTGGAGGCCGCCGAGGCCTCGGCCCCGCGGCGGTCCAGGCGCCTCCTCGCCGCGCGCGGCGCGCGGGCGCCCGCGGAGAGCGCCCCCGCGACGCCCGCGGGAGGCCCTGCCGCCGCCAGCGGCGACCCGGCCAGGTCGCTCCGGGCCCGCTGGGTGGTGGACAACAGCCGCCTGCAGGATGCCACCGAGGGCCTGGGCTACCGCCACAGCTCGAATAATAATAATAATAATAATGCTAATATTAATAATAATAATAATAATCATAATAATAATAATAATAGTAATAATGCAAATACTAATATTAATATTAATAATAATAATAACAACAATACTAACAATAATAACAAGAATAACAATAATAACAATAATACCAGTAATAATAGTAGTACTAATAATATTATTGATAGTATTAACAATAACAATAATACGACAACTAATAATTATTGTTACTAATAATGATAATAATAATACTAATAATAATACTACTAATAATATTATTTATATTATTAATAATAATAATGATAATGCTAAGAAGAAGAAGAGAATAATAATAAGAATAATAATAATAAGAAGAAGAAGAAGAATAAGAAGAAGAGAAACAGAAAAACAGCATACACATAAACTCTTCGAAGCTGTTTCGGAGCTCCGCCTCCAGCGCCGCCAGGCCCTCGTGGCGGTGCCTCTGGCGCCGCCCCTGGCGCGCTTCGCGCGCCAGGAAGGGGGGCCCAGCGCCGATCCAACAAAACCGCGCGGACCTTCAAACGTTTATGTATGCAGTCTCTGTGTCTCTCAGGACGCAACCGAGGGCCTGGGCTACCGCCAGAGCCCCCGCGGCGACGCCCAGCCGCAGGCGCTCAAGGAGTGGGTGCGCTGGGGCTGCGTGGTGGAGGGCCGCGTCACCAAGGACGGGGAGTGGCTGAAGGTGGAGGCGAGGGGCTACCTCCCCATGGCGCTGGGCGGCGTGCCCGTGCTGCGGCGGCAGGGGCGCCCCCTCCCCGCGCAGCCCCAGGACCAGCGGCCCGCGCCCCCCGAGAAGGGCCCGCCCGCCAAGCGCAAGCGGGGGCGGCCGCGCAAGGACCGGCCCGAGGCCGCCGCGGGCGGCGGGGCCACGGCCTCCCGGCGGCGCGCCGGCGAGGCGCCGGGCGTCGGGCCCGAGGCGCCGCCCGGCTCGCGCGGGCTGGAGGCGGCCCTCCGGAGGGTCCGGCGCCGCGACAGCCTGCGCCGCGCCAAGGCCTCCGCGAGGGAGGCGGCCCTCGCCGCCGGCGCCGGCGAGGCCGCGGCCGCCGAGGCAGGCGCCGGCAGCACGGGCGCCGAGGCCGCGGGCGGCGGCGCCGCGGGCGGCAGCGCCGCGCGGGCGTGCGCCTCGTCGTCCTCGTCTTCGTCCTCGTCCTCGACCTCGTCCTCGTCGTCCTTTGCCGACGGCCTCTTCGAGGCCGCGCCCGCCACGGTCGAGATCGCGCCCGCCACGGTCGAGGTCGACGCGCCACAGCCCTCGGCAGCCCCGGCGGCGCTGGGTGGCAGCGCTGCGGTGCCTGCCGGCAGTGCCGCGGCCGCAGCGGCGGCGGCTGCCACTGGCAAGGCGACGTATGTGCTGGGCGAGCTGTGCGAGTACTACTCGAAAGGCTTGCGCCCTCACAAGACCCCCTCGCGTCGTGAAAACATCACGGCGCGAGGTTTTTCGCTATTTTCGGTCTCTGGGGGCCCCGATACCGGCCCTCGGAACCGTAAAACATTTGTTCAGGATGAAAAACCGGTCCCGGGGAATAGGTCCAGGCCTCTGGGGGTCGACGTTGCGAAAAAAACACGTCGTCGGGGTTCTGGGTTCCGCGGGCCCGCAGGAGAGGAGGGAAGTCGACGGACTCTCCCAGGTTGAGGCAGCAGTTGCAGTGACTGCGTTCGGCGTGGGTGCGAGGGCCGCGGGGGCCGTGGGTGGGTCGTCGCTCTCGTGCGCGGTCGGGAACTTTTGGTCGGCGTGTCACGCCGCCAGCTCTGGCCCAGCACGCATCGCCGAGGCACGCAGACCAAGTGTCCCCGTGAGCGTGAGCGTCCCGAGCTGTGCCCAGCCGCGAGGCACGTCGCCAGGGCCGCCGCGGCGACACGCTAAGCTTGGGTCGTGCCTGTCCCTCTACAGGAGGAATGTCAAAAAATAGTACAACATAGTCTTGTGATGTTTGTTTTACTATTTTCTACTATTTTTGAAGTTTGTTTTTCTGGTACGGCAGATGTCAAAAATCCCCCTGTAGGGGGACACGCCCGACCTAATGGGAACCGTCTTGTGGCCCCGATGGGCGCGGCCGAAGAGCTCCATGACCACACTGGCGCTATCACTACGGGCCTCCTGAGTCAGCTGGAGCCTCTGCGGGAGTGGTTCCTTCTTCCCTCCGTGCCCTCCTCGACCATCTGTTCCTCCTCCTCCTCCTGCTCCTCCTCCTCGTCCTCCTCCTCCTCCTCCTCCTCCTCCTCCTCCTCCTCCTCCTCCTGTCTGTCTGTCTCTCTCTCTCTCTCTCTCCCTCTTGATGTGTCGATCTCGGTCTCCCAGAGCTCGACACGCGCCTCTCACGCCGCTCTCCTGCGGCACTGCCCGCCGTGGGCCCTGGGGGCGGCAGGCTCCGGGCGCGTCGTGTGCTCCGAATCCCTTAGTTATTGATCGTCCCCCGGGCCCGGTTCTTCAAGGCGCCTTTTTTGTCTCTCTCTCTCTCTGTCTATCTATATATATATATATATATATATATATCTACACGCACATGGATAAATACATATATGTGCATACACATATATGTATATATACACACACTTATATATATATATATATATACACGCATACATATGTATACGCATAGTTACTACCCACATTTTCATAGGTATCAAAACCTTAGTGTGTGTGTGGTCCCCATACTCCCTATCGTTCTCCTCCCGAATTTGCTTTTCGCCCGATGGCCTCCCAGGACGGGGGGGGCCACGCGGCTCGGCAGGTGCCTCGTAACGACGCCACGACAGCACCTCGGCTCAGCCGAAGCAGGGCTTCCGAGACGGACAGAGATAGCTTGGCCAATCGCTTCTGGGGGCTGGTGGGGGTAGTACTCAGTATCGTTGAAAACCCCGACCCCATCTCATTCCCCATCCCTTCGAGACCCCCACAAGATGACCTTCCCCCAGTTGGAGAGGCACCCCTCGAACGCAAGGGAACGACTCTGTCCCCATCCAGGGGGGCAAATGGGCCATGGGGGGTAGTACTTCCGAGGTCCTTAAGTCCCTTATTTCCGAGGGAAAAAAACACACAAACACCATTCATATTCGATTCCCAGAAAATATTGGAAAATCTGGGAAGTGGGGGGGAAGACAGAAACCCACCCGAAACGATGGGAAAATATGGGGAATGTTTTTTCATTAATGTGGTATTTATTTGTGTGTCCTGGGGCCTTATTATTGATCCCCCCGGGTCCGTCCGGTCCTTTAAGGCGCCTTTTTTGTAACTGGGTGGGTGCGGTTTTTTTGTGGCGCTTTCTTTGGATCGGAGGCTTAGGGGTTCCGGTTTATTGAGGCGCCCCGTCGAAGAGGGGGATACGGATATCTTAGGTCGCTTTGGAGTGGGGTGTCCGGTTTTTTAGAGGGGGGGGTCGATATTAATAAGGGATTTGGGGTACTACCCTCAAGTCGGGCACGTCCCTCTACAGGAGGAATCTTCAAAAGTATTCCCAAATATAGTCTGGGGACGATTTGTTTTAAGTATTTCGAGCCACTTTGTATTATTTTTGCACCATTTTCGATGTTTCGTCCAAGATCCGCCTGTAGGGGCACACGCCCGACCTGATACTATTCCAAATCCCTTATTAATCGACCCCCCCCCCCTACAAAACCGGACCCCCCTCCAAATGCGACCTAAGATTCCGGAGCCCCCTCTTCGACGGGGCGCCTCAATAAACCGGAACCCCTAAGCTCCGATCCAAAGAACGCGCCCCAAAAAACCGCACCCACCCAGTTACAAAAAAGGCGCCTGAAAGAACCGGACCCGGGGGACGATCAATATTGGATTCGGAGTATTACCCCCCACTGGCCGATTTGCCCCCCTGGATGGGGACAGAGGTCGTTCCCTTCGGGTTTCGAGGGGTGTCTCCCCAACTGGGGGGGGTCATTTGGTGGGGGTCTCGATGGGGATTGGGATGGAGATGGTGGGTCGGTTCAACGATACTGAATACTACCCCCACCAGCCCATTCAGAAGCGATTGGCAAGCGGGCGTCTGTCCCGTCTCGGAGAGCCGTGTTGCGGCTGCCGAGGTGCTGTCGTGGGCGCTCGCTCGAGGGCACCTGCCGAGCCGTGTGGGCCCGTCCTGGAGGCCATCGGGCGAAAAGCAGAAGTCGGGAGGGAACGATAGGGAGTAGAGACACACACACTAAGGTTTTGATACCTATGAAAATGTGGGTAGTGACTATGCATATACTTATATATATGTATGCACATATATGGATTGCTCCATGTGCGTGTATATATATATATATATATATATATATATATATATACCCACCGGTCGTTGAAAGTAGGTATTTTTGGATTCCCAGATCCCAATCTACTTTAAGCGCCTTCCTATTTCAAGAATCTATATTTTTTGTTTTTTTTTGGGGGCGGGCGCAAACCTAATCTACTTCTAGGGTTTGGTTGTCACTTCCCTGGGCGACGCTGGTCGCTCGGCCCCTCGGCTGGCCCCATTCCTTGGTTTTGATTGTTTTGTTTGTTTTCGCTTGTCCGTCGGCTGCACTGGTCGCCCCAGTGTCGCCCGCCGCCCCGCGGTCGCTCGGCCTGGCCCCACTATTTGGTTGTGTTTGTTTTTGTTTGTTTTCGCTTGCCCGTCGGCTGCACTGGTCGCCCCAGGCTCGCCCACCTCCCCGCGGTCGCTCGGCCCCTCGGCTTGCCCCATGCAATGTTTTTTTGTTTTTTGTTTTTTTTTTCGCTTGTCCGTCGGCTGCACTGGTCGCCCCAGGCTCGCCCACCTCCCCGCGGTCGCTCGCCCCCTCAGTTTGCCCCATTCCTTGGTTTTGTTTGTTTCTGTTTGTTTTCGCTTGTCCGTCGGCTGCACTGGTCGCCTCAGGCTCGCCCGCCGCCCCGCGGTCGCTCGGCCTGGCCCCACTCCTTGATTTTGTTTGTTTTTGTTTTTTTTCGCTTCTCCGTCGGCTGCACTGGTCGCCCCAGGCTCGCCCGCCGCCCCGCGGTCGCTCGGCCCCTCGGCTGGCCCCATGCACTGGTTTTGTTTGATTTTGTTTGTTTTCGCTTGTCCTTCGGCTGTACTGGTTGCCACAGGTTCGCCCGCCGCGTCTCGGTCGCTCGGCCCCTCGGCTGGCTCATTTTTTTGTTTTGTTTGCTTTTGCTTGTTTTCGCTTGTCCGTCGGCTGCACTGGTCGCCTCAGGCTCGCCCGCCGCCCCGCGGTCGCTCGGCCCTTCGGCTGGCCCCATTCCTTGGTTTTGTTTGTTTCTGTTTGTGTTCGCTTGTCCGTCGGCTGCACTGGTCGCCCCAGGCTCGCCCGCCGCCTTTCGGTCGCTCGCCCCCTCGGCTGGCCCCATTCCTTGGTTTTGTTTGTTTTTTGTTTGTTTTCGCTTGCCCGTCGGCTGCGCTGGTCGCCCCAGGCCCGCCCGCCGCCGTTCGGTCGCTCGGCCCCTCGGCTGGCCAAATTCATTGGTTTTGTTTGTTTTTCTTGTCCGTCGGCTGCACTGGTCGCCCTGCGCACACCCGCCGCCTTTCGATCGCTCGGCCCCACGGCTGGCCCCATTCCCTGGCTTTCTTTGTTTCTGTTTGTTTTCGCTTGTCCGTCGGCTGCACTGGTCGCCTCAAGCTCGCCCGCCGCCCCGCGGTCGCTCGGCCCTTCGGCTGGCCAAATGCATTGGTTTTGTTTGTTTTTGTTTGTTTTCGCTTGTCCGTCGGCTGCACTGGTCGCCCCAGGCTCGCCCGCCGCCCTGCGGTCGCTCGGCCTCTCGGCTGGTCGATTTCTGTGTGTTTGCTCGTTTCGTTTGTTTTCGCTTGTCCGTCGGCTGCACTGGTCGCCCCAGGCTCGCCCGCCGCCCCGCGGTCGCTCGGCCCCTCGGCGGGCCCCATTCATGGTTTTGTTTGTTGTTGTT